TTTTCTTGCACGGTTATCAAGAATTTATGAAAACAATATCTTTTTAATAGCTCAAACCCGACTATCGAAAATACTACTTCTATGTATAAGCGCAAAACGATTTTTGGCTGGCTCATAAATTATTTAAAGACTCTCCTAAGCAAGGACATTCATAAAATATCGCTTATTACTCTTTGTTTATTCTCCTAAAATGCGCGTGTCAATTTTTTTTTTCGTTCAAGTCCGAAAAAATTAACGTGTCAATGTGCTTCACGATTGGTTCACAATCGAGGTTTACACTTCAAAATAAGTCGTCCAAAATGCTGGACCTTTTTGTGGGTTTTTATGGGGATGATCTTGGAAGTATTTTCAGTGAAAAGATGGTTTTTACTATTCTTTCTGAATTTGTCTGATAAAAGGGGAATTCAAGATAAATTTTAGTCAATCAGCAGAACAATAAGACAATATTGACGAGGAGGGGAATACAGCCTTTCACTAAAGTTTCCGTTTTCTGTTTTTGTATTCATTTCCCTATTTTTGCAAGCATCATGTTCACCTTTTCACTTGGGAAATTGAGACAGAAATTTGGAATTTTTGTGATTTACCTAAAGGTTTTTAAAATTAAAAAACTTGAAGGCTGTGTTGCGCTCATGACTGTCTGTATTATATAAAGTGAAAATAAAGAACATATCATAATATTAAGCATCAATCATATTCTAATGCTTTATATGTTATTTGCTGTTGCTGCAGTAATATTACAACATACTTTTTTTTATCATAATTCGGGAAGAAAATGCTGATTTTACCCAACAATTGCTGGTGTTCGGGTCGTTTGCTATAAAAGTACTTTTGTACACATTTCATGCCATCTTGATTGAGAGCACTTGGTATTTGCATAAGTAGCAATAATTTTATCTTTATTGATGAGACCTTGACACAATTTCGTAAAACACCGTGTATATAATTTTAGCTTATGCTTTTTCCCTATCTTATAAAAGAAGAGCATCGTATATTTTGTTACCCCCTTAAGCCACCTGAAATGCGACGAATCCCTTCATACTTGAAAATAATTACACGCATATTCCCTCCCGTTTTAAAGGTAAAAAACACGAGGGCAGAAAGAAGGTTTCACACGTAACTCTGAAGCTCATCCCCTTGACAAATATAGTAAGAATAATGTGAACATATAGAAAAAAGAAGATACAGTACTAAAATTAGAAACAGCACAGCAGGAGCAGAAGCCTTATCTCAGTTTCAATCACGATGATGCCGCAGCAGGATAGAGAATCTCTGGCTAGAAAACCCATCAGGGCGAGAACCTAGTCGACGCCCCAAGTTCAACGCATTCCAAATGGCTTCAGAGCACCAGCATCTTCCCATATTTTCAATTTAAAAAAGAAAAACTTACAGTAGAGAATTTTCATAGTAAAGGAACGTAATAAAAAAAAAAAAGCAACCCTCCTCGACCTTTCGAAACGTTTCAAAGTGAAGGCCACTCAATGTAATGTGGAAAGACAGCTTTTTTTTTCTGGTTCCCTTTTTTTATGGACCAAGGCACGGAGCTTGTCATCAAAAGAGGAGAGAAAGTGAGTTTCTTTTCAAATGCAATCCGTACGACGGTCAGAAACATAAAAATCCTTTCACTGTGTAGCCTATTCGAAAAAAGTTTAAATGGGAAAACGAGGCCATGAGGTAAAGGAAATGTCTTTGATGTCTTCACAAGAGGAACTCTTTTTCTACAGCGTCTTTCAGTATGTATATAGCTGAGAACGGTGAAACGAAGTCGGGTATATACTAGTAAAACTCAGGCAATAAATACAGAACTTCAAATGTACGCGGATTCGACTGAAGATCCTCCTGCTGCCGACGAATGCAAATGAATTTCGAGTTCAAATTATGCAAAAATGAGTATAAATTCCGTTTAAAAAATACATGAAATGCGTCAAATATTGCAGCTGTCTTCACTTTTCGTCGTATATACTGTACTGTGTGTAGAAGAGAAGCCGTGATCCTCGAAAAGTTGCATGAAAGACTTAAAAGACTTTAAGACTTTTAGTACTTTAAATGTCCACGTATGACAAGTATGACAAAAAACCCACCGAAAAGTTGGCAGAGCAGGTGCCATTATTCACTGCTTTCCATTTTCCTTCCTCATTTATCGTACAGTATTCAAAATAAATAAATTCGGCTAGTTCTTCAAAGCATCTCAGGCAATTTTTATTCAACAAGTTCGTCTCACGCTCAGTCCCGTTTAGGGCCAAAAAAGAAAATGTTCGAATGAATTACTGTCAGAAAAGAAAGTCGATCTACTATGGCAAATTTCCTTAAAAATAAGAAAATCATCCAATGAACTTTCGTAGAAAAAAATTATAATTTGAGATCAGAAATGAACTCGATGCGTTCATTTTTTATACCGGCGTTCGATTCCAGACTACTCTCGAAGAGGATGAATTTTAAAAATATATCACTATGCACCTAATGGCAAAATCGTGATGATTCATGGCTTTATCGTTTCAATTGTGGTGTCAATTATTTGGAAACCGAGGTTTTATTTCCAGCAGACAATGGATTCAAGTGGGTCTAATCTAAATAATACCGACTGTTTCCAGACATACAGCGACATCTAGAATCAAAAACCTAAAAAATATAAGATATATTTTTCTTTTTGACTCTTAGAAGTTCGATTATTTCCTCGAACATCAATAAGCATATTTTAGTCATTTAGTGCCTTCGCGATTTTTGAGTGTGCTTGCGAAAAATTATTACAAGCTGTCATTTTTCAAATTATCCTCAAAAAATATAATTTATCTGCTCATTCTCGATTTACTTTGAACTATACTCGGGAAAAATATTGCATGTACACATTTCAACAAAAACTTCGCTGAACATGGAACATTAATTTATACGAATCACATTCTTGATACCCTGGAATTGTCTATGACATGAAATATTTTAGCATCTTAAACATTTCAGAGCATATTCAAAGCATGACTCAATCAAGATACAGTGGGTCATTTATCAATAACATTCATTAGCAACGCCCCCTTTTCTTTATAAAAAAAACCCCACCGAAAATTTGGCAGAGGTGCCATTATTCACTGCTTTCCATTTTCCTTCCTCATTTCATCGTATTTAAAATAAATAAATTCGACAAGTTCTTCAAAGCATCTCAGGCAATTTTTATTCAACAACTTCGTCTCACGCTTCGTCCCGTATTTAGGGCCCAAAAAACAAAATGGAGAACAGGCATCAAAGCTATATAATAAAATGCTCAACTCGAACAAGCCGTTTCTTTGCTGAATTTTGTGATAACCTCACTCGCAAAGGATAGAAACATAGATCTGCAAAATTCCTCACAGGCAAAATCTTTCCTTCGTAAAATCCGTTTCACATTTAGTCCCTGAATATTTGGTAAGCTTGCGAAGCTCAAAGAGGCACATTCAGACTCGTTAGCATATTGCTGCAAAAAGCTCGGAAAATATTGTAGAACAAAGTTTAATCGTCTTTTCATTCAAGTTCCCGGTTTTCAATACTCGCGTCAGCTAATTTAAAATCCCTTTAACAACTCCCTTTGAATATTTTTCGGGATGATTAATAGCGAACTATAGAAAAAACCAGATGAATTGCTAATCTTACGGCATTATTTGTCTTCAACAATCTACTCACAACGGAATACCCTTAAACAAGAGCTTGAGCATGAAGCAAGTGATTTAATTACTAGGTTTTTTATTGAATGATTTCATTAATTTTACATCCAAGGTTTCCATCGTCAGTTCACACGGAAAATTTGTTAAACACGCTCTTTCTGTCAAAGTTAGACAAACACGATGAGGTGTGTTAATTGAATTTGATGCAATTTAATGTAAGGCAAATATTACAGCGACTCAGTGTACTTACAAAAGGATTCCGAATATTTTCAGTTTTTGCATTGTTTCTAAAAGCAGCCAATATACTTGAGCCAAACTGGACTGCAATTTAAACAACATCCAGCCCATTTTCCACACAAACTCACATAATAAGGCAAAACATCGAACAGCGAGTGGCTCAACCGCATTCACTCCTTTTGAAAATCACGACGATTGCTAAATTTGTTCTCAGGATATGGGGACAGTTCGGTCAAATATTTCTTCAAAACCAAGCAAAAAAAATTGAGAACAAGTTTGGAGAATTTTTCAGAAATGTAAAACTCGGCGTTCATGTTTAAAATGTTCCCGCTACTTCATCCACATTTGATTGAAAATTTTTATCACAAGACGAGACATATATGGAGAAAATTGATTGTAAATTAAAAATCGAAGAAATAATTTATAATAAAGATCGAAGTAAACATTTAATCAACGGTTCGACAATCCAAACGAAACGTTAATAGCTATACACGTTATTCATTGAAAATATTAGTTCGCTTTACAATGTATTATCGAGACAAAACAACATTTGTATTTTCCATGAATATATTCAATATTCATGGTTTAAAAAATTCCAGTTCTCCTGATAATGAAAATTTCAAATTTCAACACAAAAAAGTAAGCTTTGTTCCGTAACATACTTTGTTGGAATTAAACTTAGATAAGATACAAAGCAGACTTTCGTAATATTTGTCCAGATGATTTTTTTAAATCCCCAGGAATTCGCGGATGTTTCTATTTTATTGAAAAGTATTTTGAATTTCCAAGGGGAATTTTCGAGATTTTACCAATTAAAAGGCCATCCGAAATATTTCTTAGGAATGTTGTTACATTATTAAGATTCTCTGCAACTGGTCCAGTTTTTATTTTATTTTAAATAAACTCATGCAAGCGATTCGAACGAGCACAAAACCTTGCCAATTTTTTTCAGGTTCTCTTCCCTGAAAATAGAAAATAGCGCAGAAAAACCTGTCGAAAATCGTTCGAAAACAAATTCCCCTAAATTTCCGGTGAGAGGAATTTTTCCTCAAATAGGGTTTTCAAATTCTGAACATCATGGTGAGATGGGCAAGATATGAAAGGAAAAAAAGAAACGAGTTTTTTTTTCCTTCGTGATTAATTGACGACACGTTTTGTTACTATGTTGGAATCGTCGCTGTCGTCGTTTGATTTTGCCAATTTCACGGGTTCGTCGTCGTCGTCGTCGTCGTCAGTGACACCACCTTTGCTTCGCAGTGGCACCATTTCTTCCTCAGTCGCCGGTTTCAACAAGAGCAGCAGCTTTTGTTGGAAATTTGCGAACCATTCTGGCAAGCAAAAGAAAGTGCGTTGATTTTTTACATTTTCTCAAAACAGAAAGAGAAAAAAATTGATTTTCTCACGGAATTTTTTTGATATGCGCTCGGAAAACCTGTGCTTGTAAACGAACGTGAAGTAAACTGGAACTCCTGTCATCATGATCAAGAGACCCATTCCTGAAATGAATAAAAAGGTATAGTAAATTTAAAGAATTTCTATACCGACATTATATTTCGGGTTTTAGTTCTGTATGGGAAAAAAATCTTTTGTCCAAAGGACCAGAGCTAAAAAACCAAATGTTAAATGCTTCTTATCACGTGGGATGACTCAAAACGTTATTTTTTTCAAAAGGAACGACAATTTTGGCAGCCAAGTTTCTGAGTCAGATTCCTTCAAGTAATTGCGGAATTAATGACATCCTGCGACCATCTGATCATTATCTAAGGATACATGTAGTAATTCAATCACATCTCTGACCTCGAACACTGTTTGCTAAATAATTTCCAATTCAGGCAACTTTTGAATTCAGCCTTGCTATTGCGAACATTTTGAAAATAGGGAATTTTCATTCTCAATACTGTAATATTATAGTCACATGAAGTATTTTTAATTATCTAAATATTTTGAAGCTCTTACTGTGATTCTTTGAAAATTCTCTCAACCTGCAGGTAATTTTTGTATCTTAACCATTGTCTTGCATTGTACATTTTTGGACTTTTCTGCAAATGTCTGTAAGTGCACGCAGTGGAACCTTAGTCCAGAAATGTTGAATTACTGCACTATTAAAATTAGGTCAACAAAACCACCCACCCAACAAAACTTCAAACAAGGATGACAGCCCCATTATTAAACTTATTAAACCAATAATATTTTATGCAGTATTACCTGAAAATATAACCTTTGAAAACTCACCAGTGTCACCAGGTGAGGCATACAGAGGAAAGAAAACCAGGAAGGCACAAGCAATCAGGAATAAAAAGGGCCACACAAGGCTGACTTTGATTGGTCTTGGTGCATTTGGCATAGTTTTCCTCAAGTACAGAAGTCCTGCAACTGCTGCACCACAGGACAGCCAAAGCACAAAGCTCAAGTAGTTGATCAAGGCACCAATGTCTTTGCCTGCCAGCAACAGGAGTGACAACATACACTGAAAGAAAAACAAAAATCACTTGTCACTCATTTATCATGCTGATTACTTTTCTTGAGGATTTTTTTTCTGACTGCTGCAAATACAGGAAATGAAAAGCTAAAATCTACATTTCCTGAAATTAGATGGTGGAATTTTGATTTCTTTCATTTATCCCCATTTCAATTCTTTCTGCATAAAGTGGCCCCCGCATAACAGACCTCCCATGTAAGGGATTTTTGCCTAACAGACCAGCTCTTTAGTCCAACTACAAAACAGACTTCTTATAGTTTAAAATTAGCGTTGAAAATTGAAATTTTTAATTTTTTATATAACTGAATTTGTCTAAGGGACTTTTTGTCTGACAGACTTCATGAATCAAGTCCGTTAGATGGGGGTTGGTTGTTTTTTAGAAGGGTTGCAGCCAAAAGCATGCACAGTATTGTACAACATACATGCAGCAAACACTCTTGGTGCTCTTGTTAGGCCTATTATTATTGGGCACAACTTGCTACAATATAAGTTGGTGTTGAGTTGTTTATAAATAAAACCAAAGATTCAGTCCAGGAATTCTTATGAGTTGAAAGAGGAATAATATGTATTTCACAGAAGATTAAATACCACTTTACCAGCTGGGGCTTGTGAACAAATTTGATTAAAAGCTAACACACACCTTCAATTCTACTGAACTTCTTCTTGGGAGCAACTTATATTAATAATTAATTTATAAACCTTCACAAAGTTCTAACAACGGCGTGGCATGCCCAAGAATTATGGAAGCATACAGGTGGTACCTTGCAATTCAACCTCCCACAATTTGACCATCCTGCAATTCAAAAGTCAAATTTGCAGGGAGGTTGACTTGCAGTTCAACCACTGACCCAGAATTCAACCTGCTTTGACCACTTTTTTTTTGCATTTTTGTGCTGATGATTTCTAAATTTGACAAAATGTCTTGCAATTCAATTGCTTTGAAACTTGACCCAAGTCCAGTAATGGGTTAGGGTCAAATGTCAAGGTACCACCTGTATAAGGATGCATTCAAAATTGGTTCTACCATCTCTTTTGATAAATGTAGCAGGAGAGATACAGATTTTAACTCGTTAAATTTTTTTTTCAAATACCCTGAGAATTAGGGTTAAAATATTATGTGAAACAAGTGCAAGAAGCATATCCATGTATCAAATACAGGCTAGACATCCGCATAAAAATACAGGATACATACACATGCAGGATACATGTACATGTTACACATACAGGAGAGGAGACATCCATGTATTCTCGAGTGTCTGTAGTTTGAGTAGCCAGTGAAGTTAAATACAGTATAAGAATAAACATCCTTATTTTCAATGCTCAATGATTCATAATTCATACTTCTTATATGAATATATGGGTCAGATAAGCAATATTGGTGGGTCTTGAGTACAGCAAATGCTCCTATGCTAACAAAAACTCAGACAACAAAGGACTGGTTATATATAGTTCCTGTACAACTACTTTACAAACACTGATCCAGTTAGCAAACGTCATTTAATAACTAGAGATAAAAACTTCATATTTATTTTCTTCTATAATGTGTTGGAATTAATCTGATCCAGCCAACAAAAATTACACTAGTCAGCACAGTGTTATTCGTTATTCAAGAACCCACTGCATGAAGATCAAATAAATCATTCCATCACTATATTCATCAACTCACAGAGAACAAAATGGTGGGGATAGGAGTCTCCCTCTGGTGATGGATGTAGGAAAAGAACTGGGGCAGTTGATTTTCTTGCGCTCCAGCCCAAAAGAGTCTAGATGCCACCAGTATCATGCCATTCACTCCTCCGAAAGTTGACAGAGCCACGAATACGGAAATGATCCAACTCCAGGATCCAAACATTCGCACTCCAAATGACTGAAATGGCAGAGACAACATGGATCAAGTGAGTGTTTCTTGGAAAACGGAATCCCCGATTTTTTTTCCATTGCTTTAACCAATTTTTCAAGACACGGTAGAATTTGCAGACACCATGAAGTGAAAATTACAGAAGATAATCCTGTAGCAAATCTTTTTCCATCGCTTTCACTCATGACACGGGAGAATTTGCTGACGCCATAAAGTGAAAATTAAAAAAGAGAAACCTTTCGCAAATCTTTGATTATATTATTTTTTAGGCCTTAATGCAGATGCATGCCCTTGGAAGAACTGAGTGGAAAATAATGTGAATTTATTTTGATACGAATGCCAACGAGGCTTTTTTACTCGATGGTCTCATTCAATTATAGAGAAAATTGAAGTTTTGCAGCACTATTAAGGCCTATTTCTGTTTCCATTTGTGTTGAAACGAAAAATTCCAGGTCGAATTAGGTGAATCAAGAAATTTTACCAGCTTTATCTTGGTTCAAGGTGTCATGAATAATCATGATTCATTGAGATATTTTTTATATACTCTTGCTCATATGACTACAGTATATGCCAATTGCGGAAACTTTTGGTTTACTTCTGTCAAATTATATTCCATCGTCGACAATTGTAAACTCAAAAAGATCTTGGTAATGCACTTCTATGGTCAGACCAACGTGATCCAGAAGATATATACTTGACTTATTCTCGGCTTCATATTTTATGATTCAAGTCCGACTTTTTCTGCGATACGAAGTTGTCAAGCTTTTTTGTTACAGTAAAAAACCATTTAAATGGATCTCGTTTGAATGTTTTATGATCTACTGCGTTTTATCTTATGATTAAAATCCCATTAGCTCAACAGTCGAATAAAACTGGCCGGCTTCTGTTACAACAGATTCCATCGAAAAGGTTTAAATCAGAGCGAATTATTCATGATCGGATTTCCCCAAGTAGCAATTGTCAATTTGAAATATAAAATACAATGAACTGAATCTCAATTAACGAGTAAAAATCATGTGAAAGCGTTGATAAGTAAAAACCGCGTGCTGAGGCAAAAATACCAGCTGATACAAACTTGGAAGGAAGAATTTGATTTTCGTGGTTCCCCAAAAGTTTTCAAGATATATTGTCCAGTAAAAAAAATGGGTAAAATTATAAACGGCCCATCAATTAAAAATTATAAACCTTGCAAAAGCTTTCATGAGTTAAATATCCCTTGCTGAGATTAAAAAAAAAAAAAGCTGATGCATATACACACGAAAGAGAGATTCTGATCATCAGCAAATTTTCACTTAAAATGTATATTTTACAGCACAGAATCTAATTAGCGTAGAATTCATCTGAAAAATGCTTCGCGTTCCTTTTTAGTTCTTAGCTTTTTTTGTATTTAACCCGGAAATCTTTCGCGATCAGAATAAGAACGCATCATGTTCTGCTCTTTTGCATATTAATTAATGAATAGCTCACGATAGCAGTGGCTGGAGACGCTCTGATCTCGGCATCAGACACGACAGCAAAGTAGGCCAAATTTGTCAGCATGTAGATCAGCGTTACCAACGGCATGCTGATGTATATAGCACGCGGCAGATTCCTGAGAAAAACAGGACACACAGGAATCAGTCAATTATCGAGTCCCGGATCGAATAATTTCCTGATATATCTGGCATGTCTTTCGATCATAACTCAATCGTAATATAGCGTAAACGAAATTTTTATCTACAGTATTTGATCCATCTGAGTGAGGATTTCAAGTCTTTCTGACCTAATGAATTCATCCCCTTTAATCACATCTACAGCTTGAAACAAGACGCTGTGGAATAAAATTTCAATGGGGCAATCCAGAAATTTCAAAAATTCACCAAGGCTAGATTTACCGAGTGGGTGAAGCTCACTCAATGCAGATGGACTCTTTCTTACTGCGAAATTCAAGGGAAAAGTAAAAAATTCGTTTTAAAGATAATTTCGTTGTAGGGAATTCCCGTAATGGGCATGAGAGAGAACCCCATGGGAGATGGGACCAAACACTACTTCATTATACAGAGAAAATCGTTGTACAGTGCCAGAAGAAGGATTCCTATTTAGAGGCAAACAAATATNGAATTCGTGGTCCTATCTCATCTTTATTCCGTCAAAAAAACGGAATATGCTCTTTAAAATAAAATAAAATTAACATCGTCTGCCCCGGAAAGAAAATGAGACGGCGTCTCCCTCATTTTTTGACGTCTCAAGTGCAATGAAAAATGAAGAAAAACTCGTCTCATGACAAGCCATAATCATCATCCACTTTTAAAGTGGATCCTCTAATGCTTGACTTCCTCGAGCCTGAATGACTAACAGGGCTTGAAAAAATATATACTGTATATGAAAAAACGGCATTCAACTAAGACGTACAGGCTTTCAAGTACTGTATAACACAAAACATATACAGGAATTCTTGATCCTAATTTAAGTAACTGTCGTGGAATGATTTTCAATTGCTGAGTCCCTATTTTTTTGTCTTTTTTCATACCAATCACGATTCCCCTTCATTATGTGATAATTTTTGAATGAGTCATACTTTATCTACCGTTTGAAGAATCCCAACCGCCCAATTAATCTTCGCACGTCAAACCAGTACCAGAAGTCCTAGAAATGTCTACGCTATTTCCCCAGACGATTTAATGCTACCAAAAATGGAAGGCGCAATGATTGATGAAAGATAATCAAAAAAATCGTGTTTACAGACCAAATTCAGGGGAATAATGAGGACTAAATTTGATCATCATCAATGTCAGATCGATCTGTAGCTACAATCATGACAGCTTCTAGCCACTAAATTTGCATCAACTCGGTTCATGCAACTTCAGATCATGACAGAAAATAATCTGAATACACGATTTTGAAGCTCTTATCTCTTGGCAAGATGAATCAAGTATAAGAACCACTTGGAGCGATGGTATTCAGAAATTTATTTTTTCTTTATTTTTTGGGATCCGTTCAAAATTTGATGAATGTTTCACTTCAGGTGCTTATCTTCCCTTTAATTAACCTGATTATTTGGGTTAAAAACACAATACGGTACCAGGAAATCAAAGTGGAATTTCAGACAAACTCGAGTTCGTATTTAAATGCTGAGAAATATTTTCCAATACATTATTTAATAACGCGTGCGCATGACGCTAAATTTTCCGGACAATGGCACTCGGTCATTAGCACGGTTAATGAGAGGTTTTACTGTACATCAGCAATTTCCTCATTTTTTTTTTCTCACGAGGGGAAAAAAGTAATTTAGTTTTTCCCGGGGATTTCTTTTCAACACGGTTTCGAGCAGAAATTCGTCCACGGACGAGATACTTCCTTTAGAATTGTTGGAGGAAACGGACGAGTGAACGAGCAACGGAAGCAGAACGAAAGGACCATTAATGCAGGAAAGGAGCTTGAAGGAATTTATCTTTTTTTTCCTATTATTTCGTGAAGGTCAAGAATGAAAGAAAGAAAGAAGGAAGAATGTGTTGCTGTTGTTACGCATTAAAAAAAGATAGAGGAAGAAACGGACCATTGCAAGGCGGAGATTTGGTTCGATGGGCGCATCCGATGACTCGTGTCTGTATCGGAATGGACCCCTCCAATTATTTTTGCGAGCAATTAAGTTTTGACTAAAGACACGATCATTTAGATCAGAAAGATTCACGAAGAAAAAGAAGAAATTTCCAATCGTTTATTCTTTCCGTGGTCTATATGAGACTCATATTCATTTATCTGTGTGCCATTTATTATTTTTGACTGAAGTCACAAATTTAGTCCAGTCAGATGCACAAAAAAAAAGAAATTCTCAATCGTCCCGGGTTTATCAAAATGCATAGTTATTGTTGCCAATCTCAAAACTCAATGATTGTGTGGTATCCAAGCAGCTACAATTATCACAAAAAAACAGGATTAAAAAAAAAACGAGAAGGACGTACAAAATATTTTCTCACACCTCGCGACATTTAAAGGTACCCATATTTTCTGCATCCGCTCATTTGCTTTGGAATTTACTTGGCAGGTTATCTATCAGCAGTTCAGTACTGCACTTCATTTTGAACTGTGAGATTCATACGATAATTTGAAAACCAAGACGTTTGATTAAAATATTCTCTCTTCAAAAAAACACACATGGATTGTTTAAATCAAAGTATGAGAGGGAAAATGCTGACCTTGTGCCATGTGAAATACACCAGCAATAATGATGACGATCAGTGCCCCGACCTTGGCAAATGAGAAAATGTCTTGGACACGAGTTGCTGCTTTTGTGCTGGCACAGTTGATGTATGTGAGCAAGCCTGATGAGAGAGTGAAGGAATTAAAATCATAATTTAAAACATACGGTATTTTCAATAATACAATTGTCAACTTTGGTTCCACGACTCCTTAATCAGTTCCAATTTAGAAGAGAGAGCAAACGTTTGGATACGGGTTCAACCGGGTCATAAAAACCTTTTTTTTTTACAGCGATGCAAAAATCGATACCCAACATAATCCTGAGTAGCAATAAATACAGGCTTTGTCCCTTTTTTAAATTTCGTCAGCCAAAACTGATTATGCCAGACTTTACTTTATGCACTTCGGTATACAATATATGTGGTACAGTATTATATAAAAGATGAAAAAAAGCTTCTCATCAGCTGTCCAAAAAAAATTGGCCAGTTAATTGATGTGAAGTTACGAAAACTCCAGAAATTTGCCAACTTTGATTTATATCCCAACGAACAAAATCACCTCTTTGCCTCGGAGAAAAGAAAAATTTTGCTGGACCGATGGCCACCAGGAAAAAAAATTTTGACAAGATGATTTTCAGATTTTTTTAGAGCATATGTGCTAAAGTTTTCAATGGGAACAACTGCAATAATTAGGAAATCAAAAAAGTTACACGAGTGAATTTAGATGAATAATCGTGATTAAAAACATTCCTTGAAAAGTATGATGAGGTCGTCAACATCTTTAATCGAATGATTTGGATCATGGAAATAAGTCCAAGTGGAACCAAATAAGTTCGTATAGACCAAAAAAACCCCAGAAAAACTGTAAAAAAATAAAATAAAAAATATACAAAATATAAGAAGAAAGAGTTATTTAAGAGATATTTACACAGGCAAGCAGCAGCAAGGAGTCGGTTGGCATTCGCAGGCGCCTCGCAGTCAGCAAAGAACGGTTTTGTGGCGTACTCGGCGAACGTGAGAGCCACCACTGTTTGTATGGCGGGTCGGATGATGATGAGTTCCACCCATAGTTTGAGGAATGCGGGGAATGGGCCAAATGCCACCAGGATGTAGGAATAGT